TTTCCGAGATTTTCATCAAGTCAACAACTCATCTATGTTATATTATTGCTTTTCTTTGTCTGTCATGTTCTTAAAACTGCTTGAAATAAGAGTTTCTTTGTTTGAGTAGATTCTAAAAAGAAAGTATCGCTGTTACTTGTTTTGAGCGAAGCGAAATAAAAGCACTTCAAAAACTTGCATGCTTAAGACTAAAATTAAAAATCTTAAATTTGGAAGAAAGACCTCTAAATATTAAAAAAGGGCTCCTAAATTTGTTCTCCCTCCGACCTCGTAGGGGGCATTAGTGGGCTAGCGACGGCTTGGGTTGGATCATTTATTTAAAGCATCTAAATAACTCTATTTATTAATGGAAAATTGATTTTTAAATGGAAATACATTTAAATGTTTCTTTTATGTATCATTGTATTAGCAAAACTGTTTTCTTGATGTTCGATTTTTGTTCAATTTATTCGTGTTATTTCATGTATGTAACAAGATCACGCGAATTTTTCTTTACTATTATGTTAGCACCATGTTACATTGACATTTTTACATTTTTACAAAACCTCCGGTTTAACGGGTAACGGGTCGTTTTGTAAGAACACTATTTGATTATTTTTCAAGTTTAAACCTTAATATTTGGATAGGTTTCAGGTGTCACATAACTTTCTGTGCATTTTCAGACTAAATCCCTATGATACTACATCCTGCAAAAAATGTATGTGCAACTCTCCGCGTTAAGAAATAAACATCATTAAAAATTAACAAAACTTTATATTTTTGTACTTTTAAACTGATAATAAGTCAATCGCTCAGTTTTAAGCTATTTTTTATTTTTTAAACAAAGTTTTTTGGGTTACGTGTGATATTAGCTATAACAGTTATGTGAAACTTCTTCCCTAAACTTTTTCCCTAGTTATGTGAAACTTCTTCCCAAAAAATGGGTTCAAATATGGCAAAAACTAAATTTCTAGAACAAATTTCAAAAAATCTCAAAATTTTAAAGGCGGATTCTGAGTGAAGGAAACGTTTTTAGAATTATTTTTGTCCTAAACGAGGGGAATACTTCCACTTTTTCCCGAATTTGCCTGATTCTTACAAAAAACGGCTTTTAAAGTCACGGTAATGAAGTCCGTTTAGTTGATTTTCAAGTCACGTCATCAATTGTGACAAGTCGATTTTTAAATTCGCAGAACAGTTGTTTCTAAATTTTTTTTCAACAATTCTCTTATCATTGCTTTTAATTTTTTTTTTAAATTAAATGTCACGACAACGTTGCACTACTTTTATAGCTTTATGCTTTTATGACTTTAAGCACGGCGATCTATAAGTAACAGGCCGTGACACGCAAAACTTAGAAAAAAATGTGGGGGCCGATATTTTAAAAATCAATATGATATTTTTTTAAAAACAAAATATGTTGCTCCCGTTATATAAAGCATTAAACTATGTAAAAATTTGTACAATTTAGAAATCTTTTTAAGTTTTTAACGATAAACTTTATTTAATTGTTTCAATTCATAAAATTGCTTAAATAATGAAATAAAAAAGTTTTATATCAGGTAAAAAACAAAAGTTAAATAAAGTACTGTTAGGGGGTAACTGCACCTTTAAATAGGAATATATTTTAGTGACTTAAATAAATAAGAAATACTTTTAAAATCATAAAACAGAAACTTTAAATCAATTAATAAATTTCAATAAAGAAATAACAGCATAAGTGTCAATAAATAACTGTCAACTTAACAAGACAACTTTAAAATTTTCAGAGACGGTTCTTTGTTCGATCTTGGTGTGGAAAGTTTGCAGTGGTTTTTGATAAAAATATTTGACAGTATATTACCATGATGTCGTTCCATGTCAAAAGAATAATGATCCGATATAAGCATAAAAGTGTTGCACAGGGATGTCCGACAAACTTTATCTTTAATAGAGTTAAATAGTACAAATGAGAAGAAAACCCATTGAACAGTATTATCAAAAGGAACTTTTAACCCACCTCTATCGACTGATTTTAGATATTGACCAAACTTTTCAAAATAAAACATTGTTCTGGTTAAAAGTTCATTTTCATTAAGCAAATCATCATTACGAGACATATCCGGCAATATAAACAAGAGACATCTTTGATTGAACAGTTATACTTTTTTCTAGTGTTGGTAAATTATCAAAGACCTCAGCTGAAGATTCATCAAGTAAAAATTCACAAAATTGGCAAGAATGTCCTGCATCAGGAGTTGACTTATTAATGTTATATGACAACTAAAGTGAAGTTTTAGAAATATTGAACTTTTCAATTATTTGCTGGACACTTAAAAAATATGTGCCACCAGATCCTGCTGAATTCTTTTTCAAGTGGGTCTGTTGTAAATTTTCCCAACATAACATATTTGTGTTTTTCTTTTAATAGTGTTTTTGTCAACTCAACAATTCCTTTACATGTATGATTTATGGAATATCCTGTATCATGTGTTAATTGTTTTATACGCTTCCCTTGATTACTTGTCATACGTAATGCCATTTCTTCGAAATCCCAAATAAATTTTAATCTATCATCATTTGGATCTCTGATGACAGCTTTTCGATCATCATTAAACCTACAATCTACATCCACACTTTTTACATTTAAAATTTTCCACCATGTAACAACCATTTTAATAAAATCAGCAGTCTCATTTATGTTTAAGATGTTGGAGGTTTCAGGATGATTAAGTAAAGCGCTGTATGTTTTTTCAGAAAACACTTTTAGACAGGTAGAAACAGATTGTCTTTCAATATGACTGGGTCGAACAGAAACTTCATTCAAATCAGAAAGTTTCATTAGACAATTAGAATCAGCTTCAAAAAGTTTTATCAAATGACTCCAACAAGCTGTTTTCTCAACACCATTTTCATAAAAAATTAATTCTCCTTTTTTTTCTGTGAGCCAATTGTTTCGGATGTTTTTGATTAAGTGGACAAAGTCAAACAACAAATAGGTTCCATTGGTGGTTAGCCAAGGTTTTTCAGGAAATGTGTCAAATTTTTTTAAAAATGCTTGATTAGTTCGATTTCCATCACAAGCAAGGATTGTCTTTGCGTTGCCATTAGACTCTTTAACTGCTTCAACAGTCAAATGAATTTGATCATATAAAAATTGAGAATTTAATTTGTTTACAGGTAACATTTTCACAAGAAATTTAGGTCCACCAAACATACAAGCAATATGAAACTGCAAAAATAATTACGATTAAAGGTGTTCGTACTTCAGTAAGCACTGAAGAGACACTTGTACCTTCACAACTTTATTTTCAGCATTTTGGCGCCCTAAAGGATGGACTTACATCACAATTTTTATGCATTTGAGATATTTTTCTAACTCTTAAAGTACCCTTTAAATAATTTTTATTTAAAATATTTAAATAAAATTTATTATTATAGAGAAGTTATCACGCAGAAAATTCAAATCCATTTGTATTATACAAATTTAAAAATTTTAAAATAAACAAAATATTTTTTTCTATGTAAAGTTTACATATACTTCATTTTACTTGTCTATGTAAATTTTACTTGTACTGTTCACAGCTTTACAAAATAAAATTAGTTTTTGTCACAAATATTTTTTTTTACACTGCCCTAACGTCTACACTACACAATTATTTAAAACTTTAAAACAAATTATATTTTGTCAAAAAATGCAATTGCATATCGAAAAATAAAATTTTTTATAAGTTCACAAGGAATTTACTTACGAATCCTAAAAAAATAACAATTCTTCTCCAATTGAAATAATTTACTTAACTATAAATTGTTTAAAAATCCATAAATGAACATATCATTAAAACAACATACCTTTGAACTGAGTTTCTGGTGTTTGTCACCATGTCTCTGCACCATGTCTTTTATCGATTTGTGTTGTTTTCCATTGCTGTTAGTTTATGAATGAAAAGGTAAACATCACTTTGTGATTTTTAACCATTGAATTCATTATTAACAGAACGAAGTACCTGAAAAAATTTTGAAAAACTTGATTTTCAACAAACTTTACAGTATCAACTTGATTTTCAAGAAACTTAACAGTATCAACATGACTTTTAACAAACTTAACAGTATCAACATGACTTTCAACAAACTCTACGCTATCAACATGACTTTCAATAAATTCTACGCTACCAACATGACTTTTAACAAATTCTACGCTATCAACATGACTTTTAACAAACTCTACGCTATCAACATGACTTTCAACAAATTCTACGCTATCAAGATGACTTTCAACTAATTCTACGCTATCAACATGACTTTCAACAAATTCTACGCTATCAAAATGACTTTCAATAAATTCTACGCTATCAACATGACTTTCAACAAATTCTACGCTATCAAGATGACTTTTAATAAATTCTACGCTAACAACATAACTTTCAACATATTTTACACTATCAACATGACTTTCAACAAATTCTACGCTATCAAGATTACTTTCAACAAATTCTCCATTATCAAGATTTCTTTCAACAAATTTCATGCTATCAATATGGGGGGGGGGGGGTAAATAAGCTTGCGTTGGGTAGGAAAATGTTCCAAAAACTATTAAACATACTCCTTCTATTGTATGAAGAATGCAATAGTAACAAATTTAAAAACAAATCAACATAAAAATTAGGATTTTTTCAAACCTCTTAAATAAATATGTCAGAAACACATATTAAAATGGACTAACTTACGAAGCCAAATATGTATCTAATTTTCATTAAAAGATAATTGCTCTAAATGTTATTAAATATTTTCTAATCTATTTAAATTTTAGATTGTTTGCAAAACATTTAGTTAAATATTTTTTTCCATAAAGATATTCGTAAATATAACCAGTAAATAATAATGAAAACAAATTTTGCTTAAAAATAAATGCTAAACAAAAAAACCATCTAAAATATGAAAAAACAAAGTTAAAATAACTAAAAACCACACAGGTTAAGTGACAGTCATATCTGTATCTGAAGTGGCATCTTTGATAGTATGAGTAATAATAAAAAAATTAATTAAAACATCATATTTTGTGTTATTTCTGTCAGCTTATTCTATAAATAAAAATCATAACATATTTTTAAAATGTAAAGTGATATAACTCTTTGCATTCAAAATATTCAACCATTTTGCCAGCAGCAGGCATTCGACAGGAAGAGAAAATATCTAACTCTTGAAAATTGAATAAGTAGTATATAACAAATATGTTTTAATGAATTAATTATATATATATTTAATTATATATATAGATCCATAGATATAGATCTATACATATATCATAGATTATTATCAAATAATAACTTGCACGAATCACAAAAGAAGATATCACAGATACTTTTCTGATAGTCAATTAAACATGTTAAGTGATATAACTCATCGCATTCAAAACATTTAATCATTTGGCCTGCAGCCGGCATTCAACAAGAACAGAAAATATCTATAGCCTCAATGCGACTAACCCCACCAATTTCTGTACTTACCTTCACTGTTGGAAACATGGAAAGAACCGTTTCTTGAAGGCTTTTCAATAAATGATCCCGCATCAGATTTTGTTTAAACAAACAATGATCTGGTTGTATCTGCTTAGTTAAAGCTGCAGCAAAAGCTACAGCAAATAAACCGCAATCATTTCCTCCTTTCTGTTTTTGAACATCCATTATTTTAATGATAATTTTTTTCTCAGGACATACCAAAAGGGCAGCAATCTGTTTTTTCCCTTGATCACTCAAAGAGTTCAACATGCTGTCATAAATAAAAACTTCATTCATTTTTTGCGCTCCTATATTGCTAATTGTAAACCAGTGTCCATATCCATCATGGAGTATCTGGATAAAACTATTTTTCATTGCAAGAAATGCCATATTTAATCCTAGAATAGGATCTTGGAAACCAGCTATTGATGACTGTGCCTTTAAAATATTCCGTGAGGCAAAAATTATGCTATCTGTTAGCCACTCATTCTCACTCCTAAGAATATTTCTTTCAATGGATGTCAACTCACACAAACTGTTTTTTATCCACAATACCTCCTTTTTTGTTTCTTTGGATGCAATTTTGTAGGTTTCCACCTCAATTGTACTTATCTCAATTCTCTGATCTTTATTGGATACATTTGTTTCATAACATTTTTTCTTTGCTGGTGTACAATAATCATGATCATGATTGTTGCAGAATTTTGAGGACTGCATTGGCAATATAATAGATTTTGAGGACTGCATTGGCAACAGAGTAGATTTAATACTAGCAGGCTTGGTCGGGAAGCGGGAGCGATCGCTCTCGATTGCTGACCATGTAAATAATATTTAGTTGCGAAAAGCTGGCCAGATTGCTAGTCGTTTTGAGAACATTTTAAAAAGCAAAAAAAAAAAAGCGACAAAGATTAATTGGACCGATGAGAGACAATTACAAAAAAAATAAAAATGAGCGATGTTTTTATATAAAGTAACAACTTACGATTGTTTAAAAGGGAAATAAATATTCTTTATTTAACTAAGTTTGCAAGTTTTAGTTTTACTTAAGCTAAATTATTTTATAAATAAAAAAGTTAATTTTTTTAATACCTATTTTATGTTTCGCGTAGTTTGAAAAGTTTAACATATTTGAAGCGATTCTTCTTAGTAAGATAAACAAATGAAATAATTAAATCATTGAATTACTATAGGAATTAAATAATCAAGATAGAAATCAACTAAAAAGGTTAAAAATACGTAATGACGAGGAAGCGACTCTGCTTCACAATATCGCTGATGATGTTTAGTGAGTGGGCTTTTTAATTTTAATTAGTATTTAAAACAGAAAAAAGTATAACGAGTTTTAAGAATGGCAACTTAAGCGAAAATAATTAGAGTAAGTAAACCAATATCTAGAAACTTTTCTTTATATCTATTTATTTGCTATATTTATTTGTGCTCTGTCGTGACCTCAGGCGCGATGCTTGTTCATCCGCGAGTTACTTTGTATGCGTTGTTTGTGTTTAGTAACCAAAAACTTCTTCTATGTTTGTTACATAATTAGTTTTATTAACTTTAACGATTATAACTTCATTGAAAACGCAATTGTTTTTGTAAGTCTTTGTTTAAATCATAAAAATTTTATGAGATACATTACGATAAAAAACAAATACACAAAATTACATTTACATAAAGAATACAATCTCTTTTAAAATAAGAATATACTAATAAAATCTATGATTTATAATAAACTTTTAAAATTTTAACTGTTTAATCAATATATATTTAAAACATTTATTTTCGTAAACAAATAATATATATTCTTAAAACAATGCTAGAAATCTCAAAACGTAACAAATCGTGTATAATACAATTTCTGAAACATTTTAACAAAACACTCTAGAACTTTACTTCGCTTAATCAGCGTATTTTTTGAACCAATAGAATTAGTTTGTTCGTTAATTTGTCCGGTTTTTAGTGTTCGCAGATATTCTTTTTATTCTTTCGCACAAAGATGTTTTAAGAACATTCAAGTTTTTTATGTTTCCATGTATGTCCGTAAAACAAAAATTTTTGTTTCGTACATAAACTTAAATGTTCTCAAAACAACTAAAAAACCTGGCCAGTTTTACGCAACTAAATATAATTTCCGTGGTCAGTATTCGAGAGCGATCGCTCCCGCTTCCCGACCAAGCCTGTACTAGATGTAAAAAATATATCAGATTTGTTTTTCTGGTCTCTGATGTTGCCTGTTGGATTTGTATGACTACTATCAATTTTACTACATTCTTTAAAAGAATCCGCCTCTGTTATTGCCACATTAATATCACAAGTAATGTATGGCTTAATGTGAGCACCATTAACCTTTTTTTCCTTTAAGATGGCTATCTCTTGTAAGAGATATGACCCCTTTCCTAAATTTTTCAAAATACAGAAAGGTCCAAGCCATCTGAAATCTAGTTTTCCATCTTTTCGTTTTTTCCGCAAAAAATCCTTGATCAGGACTTTGGATCCAATTGCATAAACAAATGGATTAGCATGCTTCTTGTTATAATGCAGTTTCTGTTTTTCTTGAGCTGTTTCGATATTTTTTTTAGCTTTTTCTAGGATACATGATCTAAAGTATAAATAGTTATTGTAAAACTTCAGAATAAATTTAAAATCAAACAAAGAACTTTTCACATTTTATATCTTTTAATAATTGTTGTACCATTAAATTTTGTACAATGCTATTCAGGCTACCAGAAAGAAAAAAAGAAAAGAAAGAAGGAACAATTTTTTTTTTTTTTTTTTTTTTTTTAACATCTTCACTTCCAACAAGGCTGCAAGCAACCACTATAAGAGTTGGAAGTTACTGGAAGAGAAAAGACTAAATCTGTAGAGCAAGATAATGATTGACTGATGACTTAAAAGATTGCAAATTATATGAATCAGGAAAGCAAGATGAAGGAAGCAAATTCCAAAGAACTGATGTTCGAGGAAAAAAACTAGAAGAATAAGAGTTTTTGAAGCACTTAGGAACAGTCACAGAAAAAGGATGAGACTTAATTGAATGGCGAGTAACACGAGAATGAATTTTAGTAGATGGCACAAGGGACGCTAGCTCTTTAGAGCAGTGCCCATTATAGTATTTGTAGAAAAGAGAAAGAGAAGCAACATTACGACGATGTGACAAAGGTTGGAGATTGGCTGCCAGAGCAGGTCCAACTATGTTTACAATTCGTTTTTGCACCTTGTCTAAAAGAGAAAGAGCATCATTAGAAGATCCGCCCCAGATGTGGCAACAGTATTCCATACAGGGACGGATTTGAGATTTATAGAGATAGAGAATAGAATCTGGAGTAAGAAAGTGTCGAGCTCGATAAAGAGATGCAACCTTAGCAGATGCTAATTTTGCAATGGATTTGATATACGGTTTAAAAGAAAGATCAGAAGTAAGAGTTAATCCTAGAAGATGAATGGTAGATGACTCATCTAGTACATTACCATTCATAAATATAGGAGGTCTAAATTATTACGATAACGATTGGCCGAATAAAATTGAGTTTTATCTGAATTAAAGTTCACCAGCCACTGTGAGCCCCATGCTGTAGCAGAAGTGAGATCCTTTTCAAGCTCAGATACCCCCTCCAAGCAATCAGAGAGTGTAGGCTTCTTATCATGACAAGAGTAAATGGTAGTGTCGTCAGCGAACAATTATTTTTTATTAAACCAATAAAAGCATTATACCTTTCCTCTATTATTTTGTTCATGAAATGTTGACTACTCTCAGGTCTTGCGTTAAAATCAAATAACAACGATTCAGGAGATTCACCAGCAACTTCAAATTCAATAGGAAGTATGGGTTTTCTACCAAACATTAACTCAAAGGGAGTGTATTTTATAGACTTCTGCTTTGACGTATTGTATGCAAAAGTACATGCATCCAAATGAGTATCCCATGTACTGTGCCGGTCATTGCAAAACTTTACAAGCATTAACTGAATGGTTTGATTGAACCGCTCATCTAAGCCATTAGCCTAAAATAAAAAATGATTAAATCAAATATTTTTAACCAGACAGCAAATTATATGCAAACTCAATTCAGATTTGAAAACCTGTGGACGATAAGCTGTGGTAAACTGATGCTTCACATTTAGCAGTGACATAAGTTCCCTGTTTATTTGGTTGTAAAACTCTGTGCCCTGGTCAGAGGTAACAACTTTTGGTATACCCATCTGCATGAACAACTGAAATATTAAACATTTTTATATCATTGCAAACATAACAAATAAATTCACTGCAATCCAATAATATTATACATAAAGATAACATTTAAAGTTACCTTATATAATGCTATTGCAACACCACTGGCTAATTTTGATTTAAGGGGAAATGCAGCTACCCACTTTGTGCAATAATCAAAGATAGTGAGGATATGTTTATTTCCTGCAGATGTTTCAGGAAGTGGTCCTATTAAATCGATTCCAATATGAAACCATGGTGACTGAACTTTAATAGGATGCAGCTCTGGGCGAGTTTTTTCAAATCTTCGTATATTTGTATGCTGACACTGTTCACAGTTTTTAACTTATGTTATGCATAACTTCCATATTACAAATATGTTATATATTATTAATGTATATTTTTCACAAACAGAGTTGTCAATCACTGGAATAATTTGGATGATTCGACTAAGTTCCAGAAGAGTGTTAAAAGTTTTAAAAACAGTTTTTTTTTTGAAAAAAAAATCAAACTAAGATATAACAATTACAAATGACCGGCACTAAGCCTTTGATCTGCTTATAGCAGAACATGTACTCATGTTCTGTTCCAGGGGTTTCTCTCCTTGCAGTGTATAATAATAATAACAATAATAGTAATATTATATAACAAATATGTTATGTATTAATACTGATGTCACAAGACTTAAATGAAAAATTATTTAAGAATAAAGTTAAAAAAATCACATAATAAAAATTATAGATACACTATCACCTTATTTAAAAAAATATACACCGTTTACAAGTATGATAGCCATCTAACATTTCAGAGCTATCACTACTAAAAATGATTTTAAAAAAAGAGAAAGAAAAACATTACTTACTAAGTAAGGTCTTTTTTTTCAAAAACGATTTATGATATATTGTACATACATTTTTATAGAACTGCATTTTTATAGAATATACTAACATATATATATATATATATATATATATATATATATATATATATATATATATATATATATATATATATATATATATATATATATATATATATAAAACAAAAACGACTAAAATTGGAAATTGTCCAATCAAATTACGAAGTATTCGAACATTTTGACTGGTAGGATTTTGAATTCTTAAAAACATAGTTACAAGAATATATTTATTCTTGTGAGTATGATATGAAGATGAATAACTAAACAATTTATATATATAAATAAATAAAAATTGAGTCCTTTCTTTCCAATCGTAGTATAAAAGTTGTCCTCGATGGACAACACTCTTCTTCACATCCTGTAACTTCAGGGGTTCCTCAAGGTTCAGTCCTTGGCCCTATACTCTTTTTAATTTACATTAACGATCTTCCAGATAATCTTACATCTAAGGTGGCATTATTCGCTGACGACACTACCATTTACTCTTGTCATGATAAGAAGCCTACACTCTCTGATTGCTTGGAGGGGGTATCTGAGCTTGAAAAGGATCTCACTTCTGCTACAGCATGGGGCTCACAGTGGCTGGTGAACTTTAATTCAGATAAAACTCAATTTTATTCGGCCAATCATTATCGTAATAATTTAGATCTTCCTATATTTATGAATGGTAATGTACTAGATGAGTCATCTACCATTCATCTTCTAGGATTAACTCTTACTTCTGATCTTTCTTTTAAACCGTATATCAAATCCATTGCAAAATTAGCATCTGCTAAGGTTGCATCTCTTTATCGAGCTCGACACTTTCTTACTCCAGATTCTATTCTCTATCTCTATAAATCTCAAATCCGTCCCTGTATGGAATACTGTTGCCACATCTGGGGCGGATCTTCTAATGATGCTCTTTCTCTTTTAGACAAGGTGCAAAAACGAATTGTAAACATAGTTGGACCTGCTCTGGCAGCCAATCTCCAACCTTTGTCACATCGTCGTAATGTTGCTTCTCTTTCTCTTTTCTACAAATACTATAATGGGCACTGCTCTAAAGAGCTAGCGTCCCTTGTGCCATCTACTAAAATTCATTCTCGTGTTACTCGCCATTCAATTAAGTCTCATCCTTTTTCTGTGACTGTTCCTAAGTGCTTCAAAAACTCTTATTCTTCTAGTTTTTTTCCTCGAACATCAGTTCTTTGGAATTTGCTTCCTTCATCTTGCTTTCCTGATTCATATAATTTGCAATCTTTTAAGTCATCAGTCAATCGTTATCTTGCTCTACAGATTTAGTCTTTTCTCTTCCAGTAACTTCCAACTCTTATAGTGGTTGCTTGCAGCCTTGTTGGAAGTGAAGATGTTAAAAAAAATATATATATATATATATATATATAATATATATATATATATATATATATATATATATATATATATATATATATATATATATATATATATATATATATATATATATATATATATATATAAATGTAACAAATATACAGCATTTTCTACATCTTTGAAAATTCCTGGCCAGTAAAATCGTTCTGCAACCTTGTAGAAAGTTCGTGTTCTACCAAGATGTCCAGCAGTAGGTTCGCTATGACACGAATTAACAATTTGTTTTCTTTGCGCCTTGCTAAAAACCACTTCTAACCATAAGTCCTTCTTTATCTTGCGTTGCAGTTTATTATCCTCCATTCTAAACCTACAAGTATAAAAAATTAACTGGTTCCAATAACACAAGCATGACTTTTTGTGTATTATAATATATTTGAACATGCTTGTTACATAGTCAATTTTACATAGCATGTAATAAATTATGGTAACAATCATGCTATGATATATTTCAAAAATAATTATACAATAACTCATTTATTTCAGACAACAAGTACAATAATAGGCTTATAGTAAAAAAAACACAAATAAACAACAACAACAACAATCAATTAACAATTATTATTACTGGCGTTATTATTAGCATTAAAATTACTGGCGCAGGCGACAAGCTGATTTTTAAAATGTCAGCAGTTAAGCAGTTAAGTATCAAGAGCAGCGTAAACATATTTTTATAACTTGAGTACTTGTCATAGCTAAAAAATATTTTAACACATTTCTTGTAACAAGATTGTAGATTTGAAAAAGTACTTACACTAAAGTTAAGCCACAAAAATGCATCATAAAGAGGCAGTACGCCTTAAACAACTGTATTTTTAACTTAACTGAGCATCTTTTAAATCGTCTGTTAAGAATAATTGTACGTGTAAATAGAGATTAAATATAACTATTTATATCAGCATTATCAGTTAAATTATTTTCATTATATCAATTATGTGACCTAGGTAATTAAATTTCTAAAAAATGGATATATGTATACTACATATTTGATTACTAACGTTGTTATTAATATATATTCTATATGTTTTGTCACTATTATATATTTGGAATCTATTATACAGTGGCACTGTAAAATATATCTATGTGTTATCTATATGGCTATTTCCAGGATGGAAGAGGCAAATTTGATTTTAAAAAACTTTGTTTTTCAAAAACTTTTTTTCTTTAACTATAGTTTAAAAACAATGAAGTTTCTTATTAATTAAATTTCGAGTCAAAAATATTTGTACAAAGAAGATAAATGTGACAAAAGTAAGCGGTTGTTTTCTATTTATACTATTTGAAAAAGCGAATAAAACTTAAAGACAGGTAATTCAAACATTTTTAAAAATATGCAAATAATGCAAAAAACACATACACGTATGCAAAAAATTAGGTTGCATCACTGAACTGAAAGATAAAAAAGTTTCATTATTAATATGAAATTATGCTAGACTTTTTTAGAAATCTTTCAATAAATTTTTGCTCTGCAAAAAAAAAAAAAAATTTAAAAGCATTATATAAACTTATAATTTGAGTTTCAAAACTGTTGGGTTACTGAATATGATATTTATCTTTTAATAAAATAGTGAGGTGAAAATTAAAGGAAGTCAAAATTAAGATTTTTTTATTGTTATTGGTCGATTGACTTTTTCATTTTTATTTCATATCATATCAAAAAGAACATTGGTTATGAATACAGTATAAATGGGGTTATTTTAGAAGAAATTGAGACTGAAACCTTGGGGTTGTGATATCACATGATTTGAAAGCATCTAACCAAAGCATGGGGGCTTTTAAAAATGCAAACAAAATTATGGGAATTATAAATCACACCATTGCCTATAAACAATCTAACATTATGTTATAACTATATAAATCATTAGTTCCTCTACACATAAAATATTGTACATCTGTTTGGTCACCTTTTTATATCAAAGATAAAGAACTAATTGAAAAAATACAACATTTTAGTAAAATAATAATGCAAGATAAGATAAGAGTAATATGATAATGAAGTGCAACATCGATCTTATGCAGACAGAATACTTAAATTTGGTGTATGGACACTTGAGGAAAGAAGAACTAGATCAGACTTAATAGAAGTATACAAGCAGCTGAATGAGTTGCCTACTAAATTTCATATAATTTTTTTTTTGAATTAGCCACAAACAAAAGAATAAAAGAAAGAGGTCACCCACTTACACTCATTAAGCATAGATTTACAACTGTGGTCAGACAATATATCTTATCGGAACGTGTAGTCAACCGCTGGAACTTACTTAATAACAATACTGTAACAGTCACTTCCCTAAATTGTTTCAAGTCAAAACTAAATAGGTTACAAACAACAAGGATTGGCTTCTTTATGGACTAACGCCTACATAGCTCAATTGGTCAAAACTGGATTGCTTTAGCAATAATGGTATGGCCATACCAGGAAAATAACCAGGTAAATAAATGAAGCATTATCAGAAATTATTTTTAAATATTGGTTTCGTGTTTGCGGTTTCATAACACATTTTTAAGAAATGGAATCCAAATTAGAAGTAAAAAAATAAAATTATGCAAAGTATCAAGATAATTAAGCTTTTTGAAGTCCTGTTATAGAGAAAAAAATGTTTAATTTAAGTTTTCTTTATTTTTTATCTTCTACCATTTAAAACATGTGTCCGCCATTTGCAAAGACATATCAAAGGACTTTTCATTATAATTACCCACAATACAGTATCGTGATAAATAAAACTATAAGTAATGTATTTTATAATAATGTATATTATAAGTTGTATAGCTTTTATGTTATAAGTAATTTATACAATATAACATAAGATATTTATAGTAATACTATACATAATTAATGCTATATCATATAAATTACTTATAATATATAAGCTATGTATTATATAACCTATAAATCGTAACCTATATATGTATATACATTATATATATGCATATATAATGTATATACATATATAGGTTACGATTTACATATATATATGTATATACATTATATATACGCAATACAGTAATGTCACATTACTGTATTGCGAGTCTATTTCAACTCACCATTTTACTCACATTAAATGCGAGTAAAATTATTTTACTCACATTTAATGTGAGTAAAATAGTGACTCACTAGTAACTCTAGACTAACTAGACTAGTTGAGCTACTAGTAAATCACTATTTTAAAAATAGTGAGTTACTAGTTACATAGTAACATAGTTAGAAATTATAACTATGTACTAGTAATACTACAAACATAGCATCTTAACTTTTACAATCTTTACCTTTTTGCTTTTCGTCTAATTGTCCGCTTATCATTTAGGGTGCAGTCATGACGATAAACAGATTTAGATAAATAGTTACTAACATCAGCAAGCATCATTTCTTCATAATTACTTTTCTGTTCATCCATTTTTAAAATGATTTTTGATATTTTATAATAATAATTTATTTTAAATCGAAAAATATTAATTATAGCTAAATATATAACATCTTATAATCACTAAACATATAAAATCTTATAAATATATAACATCTTATAAATCACTAAACATATAAAATCTTATAATCACGGCTGATTTTGTACCAATTATTGGTACAAAATCAGCCGCGATTCTTTAACTAATTATTTGCTAAGTAGGACAATTTACTCCAATGTAGGACATTCTACTCCGGAGTAAACAGTCCGGCCGGACAGTTTACTCCGGCGGACTGTTTTCTCCGTGACAGACCATAAAAAAAATTGTACAGAAAAGAATGTGATTTTTGTTTTTTTATACGAGAGCTTTGTTACCTGAAAAAGTAACGCAGTAACTTTTACTCTGAGTACATTTTTATTAAGCTACTTTTTTACCGTGTCACATAGTTTAACCTACAAACTTGATCTACAAAATAAAACATCTACTAAAAAATGGAAATAATTTTTATATGTTCTACTGAGGGCTAAAATGTCTTCAATCGATTTTTTTAATTCGACCGATTTATGACGTTTTCTATTTCGACCGATTTTTTTCTGAACCTATTTCACAGACTTTTAATTTCAACCGATTTGCCATAATTTGATTTTCGACCGAATATAGGGGAAATTCATTTAAACCTACTAGTCTATGTTTTTACTGTTATTTTCTTGCGCTTTTAATGATTTTTCTTCAAAAACATTAACAATAAATCAAAAATATGCAATTTTTTGTTTCAAGAATTTAATCAACAAGAAGCCTGTGTTATATCAGCCTATGAAAGTTATTTTATTATTTTTTATGTATTATTTCTACTATTAACTGCCATTTTTATTTAACCTAGATGCATGCAAAAACAAAACAACCCAAGTTTTTTATGTATTTCTATTATTATATATTTTTATTTTTGTAAATTTTAATATAATGAAAATTTTTTAAAAAAAGGTTTTAAATCGAACTTTCTAAAAGCCCTTTAAATCAAATTTGCTTTATGCAAATTATGTTCTATTTTTATTTTTTTGTTTAAAAAGAATAACAAAACAAGAAATGTTTTTAAACAACCTGTTCAGAATTATAGTTTCATATTTATTACAAACAGTTTATTTGGTGGCCTACTCAACCTAATTTTGAATCTTTCTAATTGTGATTTTGATGTTTTTGATTTTCAACTGACAATTTTTGATTTTTATATTTACACATAACTAAGACATTTACTACTAGTTTTCCAACCTACTAAATCATTGACCTACTGTATTTTTGACCTACTGAATTTTCAACCTAATTAATATTCAACCTAGTTTATTTTCAATTTTATAATTATTTCTATCTAGTATGTATTTTGTATTCTTTGTTGTTAATTTGTTGTTAAAAAAAATAAATTGGTCGAAAACTAAAACGTCATAAACTGGTTGAAAAAAAAAAAATTTAGGCCTCAGTACATTATCAGTACTTTTTGTTAGATGTTCTTTTTGTAGAACAATTTAGTGGGTTGAAATTTTTGTAGGTCTAACAATATGACACAGTTTATTTATGTTTACATGTTTTAACTCGTGTTTCTCAAACAAATTAAGTATAAGTGTGTTATTTTGTATAAGTGTGCCAATACAGAAATGTGCAAATATTTTTTGTAATAACTCTTTTTTTTATTAGTCATTGTACCACAATGTGAAACTAAGAAGCCAGTTCCACTTGTCAAGCACATATGTGTTAATCATACTTTATTGCCACAAAAACTGTGTTATCTACTTACCTACTTACCATACCTTTTTGAAATACCATTCATAATAAACTATCAGTTAGAAATAATTGACCACAGAATGTAATAACATATTGCTTTATTTTGCCATTTTACATGCATAGTTTTTTACTGTCTTTATAATAAAAGTTTATTTTACCTTTTTATGTCTAAAAATTGTTAAAAACATTTGCTTTGAAAAATAGAATTTTTATTCTGAAACGAAATTTATCGCTGAAAGATGGAGCCTTGTGGAACCCCACATGATATTTTAAGTTTGTTTGTCTGAAAGCCATCATTTAGAGAAATAAACTGCTTTCGATCAGTTAAGTAACTGGTAAACCATTTATGGTATTCGTGGCTTATTCCATAATATTTTAGTTTTTCTAATAAAATCTGATGGTTAACGGTGTCAAATGACCATTTAACAATATTTAACAATCTAGACCATTTAACAATATTAAGAATTTCAATGTCTTTATCATACTTTCATTGAAAATATATACTCTTGAAGTTACCTACAGTTTTCTTTATATATTTTATGATATTGGAACAGAAATTTTATTTGAATTTTGAATTATTTTGAAAGAAAATAATATATGCAATATTTATATCGAATCACATTCAGATTATGACCAAAACAGAAAATTTTTTGTCATTTCTATTACTTATTTCTTTTTTTTTCTTTTTTTTTTTCAATTACTTTATTACTTTTTTTTTTTTAATTTTACTTCTGAACATCTTAAAATTGTATTTTTTTAAACGCTGTTGCTTATTTATTACGGATTATTATATATTACGGATATTTATTTGCGTTACTATTGGGGCTCGGCGAAAAGGCTAATTTATGTCTTCTTCTTGCTCCAGCCAATTGTACTTTTTATATTGTTGTACTTTGTGAATATTTTTAACGACGAAATAAACTAATAAACTAAAAAAAAAAAAAAAAAAAAAAAAAAATTTGACAAGTTAAGGAATATACCTAAGGTGAATTTGTTATAAGAAGATGCCCAACTGATAACTTCAACAAGTTGCATCAGTGCATGTTCTGTAGAGTCATTTGATCGAAAACCATTGGTTATAATAAAATATTTAAAGTGACACAAGTGGATGATGTTTCTCCATTACTGTGCAAGGGTTAGAGTTACTCCAAGGAGGGGATTCATTTATTTTTTTTAACTTTTTTAGATGCCCCAAGAAGTCCGTACAGTCTTATCACAGTGCACTTCGGATGAGCCATTTTATAGGAAGTTCACGCCTCTTATAAAAATATTTATAAACGTACATTTTTACAAATAAAAAATCTTAATACGTCAAAAATTTTGGTTTATTTCTCACCTAAGTTTAAAACTTGCAACACCATATTAAATCCTATTGAAATTTTGATAAAACAGCTGTTAGAAAATGCGCATTTGACCTTATGCCACGCAAGAATTAAATAATTTTATGCGTGTTTTGTAAAAATTAAAGATTTATGAACAGAAATTTAAAAAAAAAATACTTATTTTGTAACATGGCGTCCGATCGAAAGTTTTCACGAACTGACTGAGAAAAAAACAGTTTATAAGAAAAAAAAAATTTATGCCGCCTTATATTCCTTGACCAGACATCAAAACTAGGACCTCTCAATTATAAGCTAGCACTCCACGGCTGATTAAGTTTAGCTCTGATTCAAATTAACAACAAATAAAATACATACCGGAAAAAACGGAGTTATAAAGTCAATCGAAAAAACAGTAGGTCGAAAGTACAGTAAGTTGAAAATTCAGTAAGTTGAAAATTGAGTAGGTTGAAAATTCAGTAGATTGAAAACGCATTAATAGTTCATGTTTTAATTAGTAGTAAGTATGAAAAATCAAAAGTTGTAGGTTGAAATTCAAAATTGTCATATTCTATCATTTTAAAAATTTCAAAATTAGGTTCAGTTATAGGCCACCCTTTTTACTTTTACTTGAGTAAACTTTCCGACCGGTAAATTTTACTTGTACTTGAGTAAAATATTTCTCAAGTAACAGTACTTTTACTTGAGTACACTTTTTTTATACTTTTTCCACCTCTGTACTTTATGAAAACTAAAAAATGTATAAATATGTTTGCACACAAAAAAAAACAACCAAATACAACAAAAAAAATTGCTGACTTAGTTTGTCCATTACTTCCGCTTACATAACAAAAAGTTATAATTAACAAAAAATGCAGCTGGTGAAATATATATATATATATATATATATATATATATATATATATATATATATATATATATATATATATATATATATATATATATATATATATATATATATATATATATATAACCGTAACAAAAGAAGAATTTTACTTAGGGACAGTACTTAAGGACTGTTTATATGAGTAGGTTAACCCGGCTGCCTAAAGAAATTTAAACTTGAAAAATAGTTTATATTGGAATTTTAGTTTAAATTTGAGTTACGCTTTTTTATTTTTATTTTATTGTTATAAAAACAATCGGGTAAATCTTGATTGGATAAAAGAAATGGCGTGAAATATTTTATCCAATCAGTTAAATTCATGAGCATTGGCTCACTTTTTTATATTTATATGTCTCACCTGAGTGAGGTCCCACTAAAATGAGGCAAAATCTCAGTTATCCGGTCTAATCCGTTTGTCATATAAACAAGTTTAATTTTTATAAGTAAATGTCAAACAAACTTGTGCCGAAGCTAATTTGTTTTATTATTGTTTTTTCACCAAACATTTTCATTTTTTCATGTTTACCAAGCTGCTATTTAGAAGCTTGCAAATTGTTTATATAGAAGATAAACATGTTATATAGAATAACTTAGTAACAGAAGTTGGTTTATATCTCAAGCAATATGTTTAAATGTATTCAATTGCACATTTTTTAATCGCAAAAAAATTTTATCTCTTGTAAACATTTGAGCCTTTTAAAGTTTAAATAATAACTTTAATCCTAGAAATGATTTAGCTAATTTTTATAAAGCTATAAACTACTGGTTTTTTCAACTGCTTATTTAATTATTATAAGCGACATCTTTACTTTATGTTTTTATCTTTACCTGCTATGTTTTTATAATTACTTGTGATACTAGCAAATGATGTTAAAAATATTAAGCTAAGTAAGTCTCCCTTTGTGAATTTATAAGCCTCGTTTTGTCAATCATTGTACTTTTAATTAAAGATTAAAATTGTTTTCTTCAAGCAAACAATAAATATAAATTTGTAAACTGTTTTATCTGAGTGAAAGTTATAATCAGAATCCACACTTTCACTTTGACAAATTCAAATACAAGATGTAATTCTTAATCTTTCTTTTTAGAAAAACTTGACCGTGAAAACTCTGACTGAAGGTACACTAAATCAAACTTATTCTATGCTACATCTCAACAAAAATACAACAACACATATAACAAACATCTCTTTTTTTTATTAAGAAATGCCTAAAACCTACGTTGATAATGCTTATAACAGAAGTGTTGGTAGAGTTGGAATGGTTCATGGAAGCGCAGTTATTCCAAGTGGTAGCTCAGGAAGTAGACAAAGTAGTAGTTATTCAAGTTACTCATCTGGATCTACAGCATCATCAAACCGCAGTTACGTAGATAATGCTTACAACCGTAGTGTAGGTAGAGTTGGATTGGAAGTTGGCTCCATGGTTATTTCAAAAAATAATAGCAGTTCAACGCCAAGCAATTATTACTCTAATGAAAGAACATACGTTGACAATTCTTTCAATCGTAGTGTAGGTAGAGTTGGATTGGATATTGGCTCCATGGTTATTTCAAAAAATAATGACAGTTCAACAAAAAGCAATCATCACTCTAATGAAAAAACATACGCTGACAATTCTTTTAATCGTAGAGTAGGCAGAGTTGGTTTAGAAGTTGGCTCAATGGTTATTTCAAAAAAAAATGACAGTTCAACAAAAAGCAATCATCACTCCAATGAAAAAATATACGCTGACAATTCTTTTAATCGAAGAGTAGGCAGAGTTGGATTAGAAGTTGGCTCTATGGTAATTTCAAAAAATAATGACAATCCAACACAAAGGAATCAACAATTTCCAGAAAAAAGTCAAAAAACAAAAAAACAAGAAGAAAAAGGAATGAGGGCAGAAGCTGTTAAATTGACAGAAAATGATAAATCAAAAAAAGTTTACGTAGATAATGCATTCAACAGAAGACATGGAAGAGTTGGATTACCACTTGGTTCCAAACCTTTAAGGAAAAAAGTAGAAGTTGTTCCTCTACCCACCTTTCCCTATGAAGAATTGTGTCCGCAACTAAATGACTATAGTGGATACGACATTAAGCTTCAGGTAACTAATATTAAAAATATTATTTTAAAGACTAATCTTTGTATATATATATACTTTGAATTATTTACAACCTTTTTTGAACAATGTAATACAACTTATGTTCAAATATATATATAGTATATTATATATAATATATAGTAGTGTATTAAATATTAATTAATGATAATAATTAATAATAATATATTAAATGTTTTCAAAGGAAATTATACAAAACTTGATGGATCGAATAGTTATTGAAAAAAATTTAGCACTTGAATCGCAAGAATTAATTCCTATAAATACGTTACAATCATTTGCAAACATATCTGGAAAGGATGTTGCATACGAAGAATTAGAGCTGATTAAAAAAATTGGATCTGGGGGCTTCGGGGAAGTTTATTTATCTAAATGGAAAGATGCAATTGTGGCTGTAAAAAAACTACGTCTTCAAAGAATTTCAAAAAATCGTCTAAAGGATTTTACAAAAGAGGTTACAAACTATTATACGTTAAATCATCCAAACGTTGTTAAATTTTTAGGTGCATGCACAGTTACTCCAAACTTATGCATTATAATGGAATACATGGATATGAGTTTGTTTGAAGCTAAGATTGATATAGACTTTTCTGAGGAAGAACGTCTTAAAATCATATCACAAGTATGCAAGGGTTTACTTTATTTGCATGAAAAAGGAATTGCTCATTGTGATTTAAAAACTCAAAATATTTTACTACGTTATAATGAAAAGGAAAACGTTTGCGTTGCTAAAATTTGCGATTTCGGATTAAGCATCATTAAACATAATACAGAAACTTCGGGCTCCAGTATTGAGCAATATTTTAAAAATATTGGAACACCGCGCTATTCCGCTCCAGAAGTGTTAAGAGGGGAGCTAATAGCTGCATCTGCGTGGTTTATGTGTGACATTTACTCGTTGTCTTTAATTTTTTTTGAAATAATTTATGAAGAAGAGCCATTTAATAATCTTTCATATGCTCAGTTACAAAAGCAAGTGGGAGAAAATGGTTTAACTCCTGACATTCCATCCAATGTAAGTGTTGACCAAGATATTAGTAATCTTATGAAGGCGTGTTGGAAGTTTAGCCCTGTTCAAAGACCTAAAATAAATGAAATTGAGAAGAAAGTAAACCATATTACAAGAATTTATTGCGATTAAAAATGCAAAAGCAAACGAATAATTTTAGAATATTTTATAGTGATTATATAAAAGTTCTTATCACCTTTGAACATCATCTTACTTGAATTTTCTTGACGTTTAAATGTAGTCTGTTTTTTATACTTATATTTTGATATATCTAAATTTACGCAGAAAATTGTAACAAACACAGAAATTTATTTTCTGAATTAATCCATAAACTTTTTTTTGTTTAAAAGTTATCATACAAATCAAAATTTATATTGGTTCAGATAATTTCTAGATCTTTTAAAGTTTGATATTTTTATAATTTAGATTACCTTTTTATAAAAATTCTTAACACCTTTGAACATCATCTTACTTAACAGCATTTTCTTGACGTTTAAATGTAGTCTATTTTTTTTATATTTATAATTTGATTTATCCAAATTTATGCAGAAAGTTGTAACGAACGCAGAATCTTTTTTTCTGAATTAATCCATAATCAATTTTCAATCTGGTCAAGAGAGAGACTTTTTTTACCCGTCAAAAGTGGGGGTCTCGAAATTTTATCACCGAAGGGGCAAAGTATTGCACTTCGTCTCAAAACACTTTTTCAACTGAATGAATGCGGAGAGGATAAAACTCACGATTATTACTACATTGCAAAGTATTGGTTGGCAAGTTCATTTATAAAATTTACAAACCAAAACCAAAACTGGAACTTTTTAAGACAAAACAATTTTCCAAAACACTGGGACAACAAAACCTCTCAGAACTACAAAACAATAATTGAAATGATAGGCAAAAACGGGTCCCTGTTTCTTTTCCCCTAATATTAACAAAAAAGTTTTACTTAGAAGTGAAAAAAAATAAAAATAGAGTCGTGCCAGCAGAACTTTTCTGGAACGGTTCAACAAAAAAAACAATGCCGTGCACCCAAATTTAGGGAAAAAACTTTACTTCCCACGCATGCGGACCGACACAAAATATGATTTTTCGTTTTTTAAACAACAGTTTACCTTTTGCGTCCTTGCTAGCTAACAGCACAAGGCAACAGATCGTTAAAAATAACAAATGCAAAACTTGTAGTAAAATTGAGAACAACATTCATATTTTTGCCTACTGTCCTCCTTCAGTTGAAATTTGGGAGTACTTGAAATTATGAGAAATATATTAAGAAATTATGTAGTACTTGTGGATCAACATTCTCATCAAGATCATCTGATATTAATTGCAGAGCACCAAACTGCTTTGAACTGAAGGCAAGATCAATAGCTTTTGAAACTACCTCCCTAAATCAGAATAAATTAAAAACACAATATTAAATAAACAAAAATGTAACAATCGCATTAGCTAAAACTTCTATATTACAATTTCTTATAAATATTATTGGCAACAGCTGAATTTCATTGTTTTATCAAAAATGTCAGTAGGTGTTTTAAAATTGGTTTTTGATACTCAGAGAAATATTTTTGAGTAATCTTGGACATATTAAAGTTAATTTAAAAGTTATCTCATTAAAAATAACACTCCCATTTTTTTGGTACTAAACATTCCTTAGAGGTATGAAAGGTTTAATAGAGGAAGTAAGAGGGGATAAAAAGAGAGAGGTAAGAGAGGGTAAATAAAGGGAGGTAAGAGAGGGTAAATAGAGGGAGGTGAAAGAGGTTAAATAGAGGGAGTTAAGAGAGGGTTAATAGAAGAAAGTAAGAGAGAGTTAAATAGAGGTTAAATAGAGGGTGATAAGAGGGTGATAAGAGAGGGTAAATAAAGAGTGGTAAGAGAAGGTAAATAGGGTTTCTGAAAATATTTTGAAAAAACAATTGTTTGGTGTTTTAACTTTTTCACAAACAGCTTTCTTCTGTTTTAAGGTATTGAAAAAATAGCTGGTTTTTCTTTAAAATGTTTGTTCTTTCAGGATTTAAAAAAAAAAAAATGTTTTAATATTTTTTAACGTTTAGGAAATTATAAATTTTTTTTTTGTAATAGCTTATTAAAAGAATAAAGTTTTTTTGTACTTTATTATTTTTGAAAGTTGTAACATGTCAAATATTCACATCTATAAATTATGGTTTAATTGTTAAATTATTTGAAATTATGAAATTATTGGCAGTGGCAAACTATTAACTTAATAATTTGAACCCCATCTACAACAAAAAGTTGAGAAGACAACATGCTTGCAAAATTTATTGCATTATTAATGTTACTTTTGAATTATTTTTGTATTACTGTTATGTATTATTTTATTTTTGTAATGTTGTTGCTTATTACATTTGTTGCTATTATTCAAATGATATTTTATTTTAATATTTAAATCTATCCATTTGTTTTATTTTTCTATTTTACCATCTTCTGATCATATCTTATAAAACATTGCGTTTTCTCATTCATTTATTATCTCTCATATCATTTCATCCACTTATTTTCTTTTTTCTGTTATTAGTCTTGCCATTTTAAACACTATTTTTGTTCTTTTCATTTTTTTTAACTACTTTTATTAATTTTTGTTCTTCCATTTTTTTATGTAATTAAGGTGTCACTCTAACGACTAGTGTTTATCTAGAAGAGTGACATCGAACTTGATTTTGTTGATTTCGTAAAATTGTATATGAGCTTGAAACTTTTTCAGTTTTATTGTTGAATAAATGGATAAAAAAAAGCTTTTTAATCAAGTACTTCATTGTTTATTTTCACGGTTCATTTAATCATTCATTCATACAACTTCATTACCAGTTTCATGCTTTTGATTGCTTTCAATTTATTAACCATTTTTTTTGCTTTTAGTCACGGTTTTTATGGAAAAGTAGAATTCAAAAACAATTACAAAACCATACAAAGTTAAAGTTTTTATATCAAATTCAATTTTTAAAATGATTAAACTTATTTTAAGCCTTAACATAAACTTATTTTAAGCCCTAACATAAAAAAGTATGTAATGAGATTCCTATAAATATAATTCTGAATTTTTTCTATGGTTTCATATGTGACAAACTCAAAAAAAAAAAAAAAAAAAAAAAAAAAAAACTGAAGGGATTTTCTGATTTATTTACATTGAATTTTCCAAATCTGATTTATTTGCATTGAAATTTTTCTGGTGAATTGAAAAGCATTGATATTGATATATCTGAGGATACGTAATTGATATTGTAATTGATATTGACTGTATAATATATATATATATATATATATATATATATATATATATATATATATATATATATATATATATATATATATATATATATATATATATATATATATATATATATATATATAATACAGTCAAATATATACATATATAAACAGTCAAATATATACATATATAAACAGTCAAATATATACATATATAAACAGTTAAAGACACAACTTCTTTAAAAATCGAGTAGTGCCAACATGAAATGCTTTGCCTGTTTCAATAGTTATTAATTTTTATTAATATATAGTTTTAATAATATATAAATTTTATTAATAAATTAGTTATTAATAGCCATTAATTTATATACTTATTTATATGCTTATACTATAGTAAGATATTTACAATTTAGTACAAAGATATTACAATTTAGTTGTTTATTAAAAGTTATTGTCATTTCTCAACAAAAATATGCTCTATTAGCTATTAATGATTTTTTAAAATGTCTGGCTATAAAAATAGCCGTTTTAACAGATTTAATTTATTTAGTGCTTGTGTACTTTGCAACACTTTTGGTACCTTCACTCACAGCATGTTTTGCTAATTCACCAGGAAGTAAAAGGCGTACTGCGGTTTGAATTTCGCGAGACGAAATAGTAGACTTCTTGTTTTGAACGGAAAGTCTTGATGCTTCAGAAGAAATTCTTTCAAAAATATCGTTGACAAAAGAATTCATGATTGTCATCGCTTTAGAAGAAACTCCAACATCAGGGTGGACTTGCTTTAATACATTGTATATATAAACAGCATAGGACTCTCGTCTCTTTTTTTTTTGTTTCATCTCACCAGCAGGAAAAGGAACTTTATTTCCTTTTTTACTGGCTTGAAGTTCCATCTTCTTCGCCACTTTAGGCTTAGCAACTTTTAACACATTAGACATTTTATCTATTATGGCTCTTATTTTAAGCTAAATTTTTTGGTTTAATTTATTACTTTTACGATTCAAACTTTTGGTTTCGAAATTGAGAACATTTAGTTTGAATGGGGTAAATTCGAAAATTCGAAAACTCGGTTTTTAACGCATTTGTCAAAATAGATTCTTTTTGACAATAAAAATAAATAAATATTTTATTAATATCAAAATTGTGTATATTTAAATTATTTTAAATAAAATAGTAATGTATTTTTCCGTTTTTTTTTTACATTTAAATAATTTAATTATAATAATTTAAATGATTCAATAATTTAAACTATTTTATTTATTACACCTGATGACGCTGATCACAATAGATCAGCGAAATATCGAAATAATTATATATTAAAGCAAAAATATATATATATTTCAAAAAAAAAAAGTTTATACGCAGCCGTATTTATTGAATTCTAACCATATTTTAAAGTATAACAAGAAAATGACATTCAAAGATTACATTTAAATAAATATATTTATAATGGCGGACCTGTACATGGCGCACCCCAAACTCGGTAAAGTTCAAAACAATAACTTTGCCGTTTTATGATTAGCTAATTTTAACGAATAAAAATTTAAGATAAAATTTCAAGTTGCGCTTTTTTGGTTCATTTTTTGCCATCTTCAAAATAAGTAAGACTACTCCTTTAGCTGAGTTCGTTGAGAGTATCAAAAAAAAAAAAAAAAAAATTGGTTCATTTTTTGCAACAAAAAAGACTAATGCCACTTCAAAAACTTTGTTTACGTGGTCAAAGAATACAAACAAAGAATTTTGATCAGCATAAAATTTTCTATCATAATCAATAGTAAAAAAAAAAAAGGGGGGGGGGCGGGGAAACTGCAGTAGCGCCCAGATCAGTGGACTAATTTAAATAACTTAAATAACAATCATTTCATTGTAAATCATAAATAAACTGTGTTGATCCTAACACTGGAGCGACAACAAATCATGTTGAGTCTTTTTGGTATGAAATGAAAAGAAGCTTAAAGTATGTTTTTGGATCACAGAGTGATTTAAAGTGGTCTAGGCTAGATGAAGCTGTCTACAGAAAATATTATGAGATTTATAATAAAAATGTTTGGAAAAAATTCTCTTCATTTTTAAAACTAATTAATAGGTATTCTCTGTAATGTATAAAATGAATGATTTATAAGTAGACTGTGAGGTATTATAATATAATATAGTATTTACTTGTTGTTTTTTTATGTACAACACAAAATTTACGTTGCAAAAACTATAAGAAGATAAGCCACAAAAAGATATGCTAAGAAGATTAGCTACAAAAAGATATCTTTAGACGATCGATTAAAAGAAGATAACTTAAGCCAAAAGAGGAAATATTCACAAAAAAAAAGTTAATAAGAAAACACGTTAAGTTATAAAAAGACACGTTAAAAATATAATCGTTAAAAAGATACTTTCAGTAGATAAAATAAAATGTTGAAAATACTAATTTTGTTATAAATTATAATATTTAATGTAGATTTTGCATTTTTTACTTTTACATTTTTTTGTAAACTGTTAAACTTAATTAAAATGCATTTACGTGAACTTTTTGTTTTATTTTTACGAACTTCACTGAGTTTGGGATGCGCCGTGTATCCGCCATAATAATAATAATAAGAGTTTGCTTAACTATACGAGTGTCAATCATAGAAAAATTTAATCACGGCGGTAAACGTAAAAATTAAGAACTAAATGTAATTGACAACTAGGCGCAAAAATATATTTTAGCGCGCGCTCCTTCGTAAAAAGAGGACATCAGGTAACCCTAAGTAATACGTTTATAAATAATATATTTACTAATTTATTATTGCTCTGTTCTTTAAGTTTATATTATAGGAAAAAGTCGTGACAAGGAAAAATACAAAACTGAAAAAATCTATAAAATATTTATATACATATATATACAAAAAAAATTTATATACACATATATATTTTACTAATATATTTATAAAATAAATAACTTTATATAAGTCATAAATAATATATTTACTAATATAATAGTGCTCTGTTGTATATACATATATAGATATATCAGTAGCGTAGTAAAGGGCCTGCGGGCCCTTTGCCACGCTACTGATATATGTAGTCGCACGGGTTCCTAATAGCCAAGAGCTATTAGAAGCCCATGCCAAATTTTAATAAAAGTTGTCATTCTTAAAAATAGTATGAATGTATATAAACAGCAACATTATCAATTTTTGCTATTATTACATAGAACAGCACTCTTTTTCAGACTGTTTTTTAGCTTTAATAGTCTTGAATAATACTTTAAATAGTGAGCTTTTTATTTATTTATATTAAATAATTAAAACAAACTGTGTTAATTCATAAATATTAAGGGTGCGCCGATGCCTACTTTTTTTTTTAACGCTTTCAATATAATAACAAACTTTTTTATTATTTTAATTTAATATAAATGTATTGAAACATTTTGATTGTAAAGAATGGTATAAATAAAATAAATAAAAAGAGTTTAAAAAAAATCTTTGTTTAAAGCAATTTTCTCTTTATAATTTATTATTATTTAATAAAAAATTTCTTATAAATTATGAGAAAACACTTAAAAAGTAGGGAACCCTGTTAAAAGCAGTTCAAAAAATTTCTAAATTAGTGGTTGCATATATGCCTATATAAAGCTTATTATTAATAAGTTAGGCTTATACATTGCATTTAGGGTAAGTTTGTCGATATTGTACCCTCTAAGAATAAACTCAAAAATAGAGAAAAAATACAAAGTAGAAATAATGAGACTTTATTTTATTTATATTTTGGGGATAAACTGCTCTAAAAAAGTTAAAGAAATATGTCAAAATTTAAATGTTGGTATTTGATAGGGAATTAAATTTAAAAAAATATACTATTGGTACAATTAAGGAAACAAGATCCTAAATCGTACTATTATAATCCAATATTTTACCCATATCTTGATTTTACAAATACTATATTAATTTACAGTACATTTTGAATGATTTTTGAAAAGATCTTTTTCTGCGTAAAATGTAAAATGTTTTGTATGTAAAAAAATGATGATTATTTAATACAATATATCTGCTGAACCCCTCAAATTAGCTCATAACTTAATTAGGAAGCCCTATGATGGCTGCTTCATTGTCGGTAGTTTTAACATATTATATTTTCTAAGTCCAGCCACCCTATGGTTGCTCAAACCATATGTTGATCTTGTTATTTACCAACAGCAGTAATTGTATTTTAAAATTATTTCCTTATTCTATATTAGGTAATAAAACAAGGGGCCGCTTTTGTATCACTTGAAGAATGTTAGTTTCAAAACCGTTTCCCAAAAGTTTCAAAACCCAAAAGTGAATCTCAGCATCAGTCAACTGGAATATTTTATCTCTGCATAAAATTTCTAAAAATTGTACTGTTTATTTTAATATATTATAGGTTTAATAACAAAGAAAAGTTAACAACAAAGTTTAACAACAAAGAAAAAGTATGATCCTTGGGTTACTCCACATATTAAAAACCTAATCAGAGCAAAAAAATCCGTTTGGTCAGATATCAACTGCTCAAAATGGAAGAATAAACTTAAAATAAACTGCTATCATCTTAATCGTTCCGTAAAAGCTGAAATATTTAAAGCAAAAAGAGCAGACAAAAAAGAAATAATATTAAAATTCCTCTGAACAATTTTCATCGTTAAAAAAGTGATATAAACCTGAATGAACTTATAATAACAACTTGTGGATTTCTATTTAAGACATTTTTATTATTTTTTTAAATTTTATTTAGGTGCCCCAAGAAGTCGGTCTTATCACAGAGCACCGCGGATAAGCATTTAACCGGAAGTTCAAGAGGTAGGGTTTGAACCACGGATACTTTGTTTCTGAGACAAGTGGGCTACCACTGCGTCATGTTATTAATGAGTTTGAGTTTATATATTTTAGAAATCAAAAATATATGCATACATTACATGTGTATATTTTGATGAGAAAGTGCAACACCAGGCACTTTCATGCTGAAAGAAAAGATACTCGTGTGTCTGATCTTTCTTCTATATTGAGTTTCAATTTGTCAACACTATCTTTAAACGAGTTAACTGATTCAGTACTTATGGCGTCTGTAGGTAGCGCATTCCATTGACGATACGATTAGTGAAGAAATTGAAAATTTCTTCACTAATCGTATGACGATACGATTAGTGAAGAAATCTTTCATCACAACTTTTTACATTTTGAGGTTCAAGTCTAAGGTAATGCCCACGCAAATTGTATTTAGAAATCGATGGTGCGTAAACTCGAGGGTTCTCAAAAATGGTTTGGTCAATCCCTTATGAAAATTTAAATTGTTGAATAAGATCACCTCGAATTCTCCTTTTTTTAAGTGTGGTTAAGTCGAGATGACGGAGTCTATATTTATATTGCAAATGTTTCATTTCCGTTATTGTTTTTGTGGATTTATGCTGCACTTGTTCAAGAACAGCAATGTCTTTTTCCTTGTGTGGTGACCAAACCTGGATAGCAAATTCTAATTGAGGTCTAATATAGGTTTTGTAGAGTACTTTCTACAAAAAAGAATCCACGACTTCTAAATACTTTCTTTAGTCTACCAAGTTTACTGTTGGCTCTTGCTGCTGCTGACTCGACTTGATAGCATACCTTAAGGTAGTCTGATAGAATTACTCCCAGATCATGTTTGTGCTTAGTGACGTCCAGTTGAATTCTGTTTCCACTCAAGTCAAGCATCGAATAATTTTGAACAGATTTAGAGTTACGACGCCCGACGTGCATAACTTTACATTTATCGAGGTTGAGAGGCATATTCCATTTATGCGACTAATCTACTAAGTCACCTATGTCAATTTGCAAGGTAGTTTTGTCCTCGTCTGATTTTAGAACTGCAATTATTTTGCAATTGTCAGCATAAACCTTTATGTGATGAATAATATAGTCCGGAAGATCGTTTATATATTATATAAAAAGAAGTGGACCGAGCACAGAGC